AAAGCACTGTATCGAACGGTTCAATATCGATACGAGTATCGTTGCACCCCTACTAAAAACATCACACTAGAACTCAACTCTGCCATGCACAACCCCCTATGCAAAAAAAAAAAAGTAAGGCCATGCTCTTGGATGCATTTTTTAACCAGTGCGCCATCTGGAGGCTTGGACGTAATGAACTGTTTGCTATTTGGCATCTGCTTAATAGCTGGACACAAAATGATCATCAACAAAAAGTAGTGTCAGTTGCACATAGAAGTACTCTCTGTGTGAATTTAGGTAAATGCGAAATTGTTAATGGGAACCTGCAGCTGTTTAGAACTGGAATCGCAGGAAGCAAACCTGTAAATGGGCACGCATGGAATCAACTTTTGGCCAATTTTATTGGACCTTTGTGATTTCATCTCAACTGCTTTCAGGATTTTTTTTTTCTTTCTGTGCTTTAGTTCTATAATCAGTTAACTGAGCATGAGACATTGGCTTAGTCTCTGCAGTATTTCTGGTATTTGTCATTATTTTCTGTATTTATATGTATCTGTATTAACAGTGTAGTCCTAAACTCTGGCTTATCTAAACATAACAAAGTTTAAAAAAAACAAACAAACATCCATCCATTCGCTTCCACGAATTTGATGCCAAAAAGGGGCCAAACAGTGACTTACATTTTAATAATTCCTTTTTAAAATATTTCAAACCCGTTTACAGGTGGCTGCTGTTTCAAACCACAGACAGTCAAAGATGGTCTGAAACTCTTTGAGATCGAGACAGTTCTTTCTCTGGAGCAGAGGAAGCCCAAAAAAAAACTTGACCCTTCTTCCATCACTGAGGTCTGTTTATAGTCTGCTTCAAAAGGAAATCTGATCACTCTTTAACTTCATACATGGACGTCATATGGTTATTATATTTTTTTCATGTTTTATAGGGAATACTTAAAAGCATGTTTACTACTCGGGGCTATGATGCATATCCAGAGACATCCTTGCCAAGCCAGATAAACAGCAAAGTGACGGTGACAGAAAGGTGAGTGGCAGAAACATCCATCCTGTAGAAGCTAAGAACACACCTGATCAAAGAAAATGAGTTTCTTGAGCTGTTAATGAAACAATTTACTCTGCTTGCCTGGTTTATCTAATCCAGTGTTTCCCAAACACTGTGCCTGCGGCACATAGGTGTGTAGTTAGAAATGATACGGTGTGCTGTGGGAGATCGTCTGGTTCCACCTGACTTTAAGCGAGAGTAACGGGCAGAACAATTACGTTCTTTCCCACTTGAAGGCAGTACATATACCATATACCTCCTCTATTTAAATGGGTCACCAACTGCCAGTAAAACAGAAGAAGGTGAAGAAGAACTTGCATAATAGTCATGCTGTGAGATGACGCAGCACGAATAGCAATAGATGAATATTTGATAAGAAAAAGTGGTCAGTCTGACCTGGGTCCTAGGGAAAATTCTGACCCAGATGAAGGGCTTAGCATGAGTAGTGGTCAGAAGAAACCAAAAAGGTATACTGGGGACAAACCGAGCCAATTCCGCTATACCTGGTGCCCGGGGAAAATGTATCAATATGCTTTTTGTG